CTATGAGATTCAAACAAATTCAAATTCAGGGATCAGACTTTGCTTCAGTGGCTGGATAAACTTTTTGTACAGTAAATGAAATCACATACAGAGATAAAGATTAATATTATCATAAAAAAAAAGTTGCAATTTGACATCTTTTTACCCAAATGGGAGAAAAAAACATTAAAACTATATTTGAAAGTATAGAATTTTGTCAATTAAGATTACTTAACATTACCTTTTAAGTTTTAGACAATTTTAAGAATTATGTGCTGATAGTAAAATTTGTGGTTTAAGAATTCTTTTGCATGTGTGTGAGGGATGGATAAAAACGTTTTCAGAAACTACTCAAAATATGAGATCAGGCAAAACGGGATTTTCAATAATAATAATAATAATAAAGGAAAGATATTAGAGTTGTGACAAATGTGTGGATTCCTCACTTATTTTTTTTACTACTCTAGAAAAAAAATTTTATAGTAAAAAATAGTTGGAAGAAAGAAAGAAACTATAGCAAAGAAAACAGCGACTTACCTCGTCAAACCAAGCGACAAAACATTGCGTGTATCCTACAATGGAAAATGGGGCGAAAAAGAAAATTACTTACCAAAAAAAAAAAAGGTACATATTCTGCATGACATGCTGAAGACAGAATATGTAAATTAAAAATAAGTCTATCACAGGAGTCGCTGTAAAAGTATTTTGAGGTGCAAAAATTGGGCGTCCTCTCCCAGTTGTCGATGAATGGAAAAAATGTTGGGCCGATAAAAGCAGTTGGTGTTCTCAAATCGGAAAGAAAAAAATTTGGGCATTTTGGCTACCACGTTTGTAGAAGAGTGAGTTATTTTTCTGACTGGTTGCGTGCATTGTGATTTGTGAGAGTACCTGCGAACCGAGTTTTCAGCATTTCTTTCTACCCCCGATGTTCGAATCTGAACGTAGTGATTTATTCTCTGCATTGTGGAAGTAATCTGCGGCAAATATTTCCTTTGTAGTCCCAGATTGCTTACAGAAACATACAATATAACCATTGATGATGAGTAAAACAAATTGCATAGATATGGATTTGTAAACATGACAAAAGGATGTCAGATGATAGCAGGAATGCTATCAGGAGTGGTAAAAATGGCATGGCAGGTCTTAGCTGCAAAGGTCAGAACTGGCGGAACTAAGGAATGTAGATTATCAGAACATTTGGTTTTACAGCCACATAACATTGAAACACCAATTCCCGTATGATCACTGAAGTTAAGCAACATCAAGCTTAGTCACTACCTAGATGAGTGACTGAAAATACCAGGTGCTGTAAGCTTGGATATGTGGGTGGTATAATGGATAATGGCTTGGAATTGTTAATTGGAGAGCCATATTCCAATTCCAGTTGGGTTCATTATGCTCGCATCCAAATACACTTGGGAAAGGTTGAATCCATTTCTTTCCCCCCAGCTATGGGTTAATTAATAAGATTTGTATCATTAAACCATTATTATCTCCTGAAGTAAAATAAAATTGCAAACAAAATATTTAGATTTTGGTATTGAATAACCCATAGAGGTGTTGATATGTGCTAAATAAAAACAACCAACCAATATTATCAGAACATTTGCAGTGGAAATAATGATAGAATGGTGAGAGGTTTGTGACTTTTCGTGTTGGGAAAGTGGTTGTAGGATGGAAAATAAAAAAAAGAATAAAAAAAGGTTAGCACAGATGTTATGCCTTGCCATTGCCTCATATGTATGATCATCCACATACAAGCCTGTTTCGCTGTATCACAGCTCATCAGTGTGGCTAGACATCCAGTTGCTTCAAGTGGGAGTGAAACCCGACCGATTTGGCATCAGTCGGAGATCCTATCCCTAAGCTATCGGCACACAACAGAAGAAGGGAAATTCTAACGTAATATATATGAATGCATACAAATACCAGCAGCCAGAGTGCTCAATTTCATTAATGAAAAGTGGTGCGTTAATAGCGTTGATGGCTACTGTTTTGTAATTATCTTTTCCTCAATAGTGCTCGATTGAAATGACAAAATATGATTTTCAAGATGTGCTATGAAAAATGTCAATATTGCTTGCTTCTCTTTTACTTTTAAGCAGTGATCGGAACAGAAAACAGCTTTACTTGTTTGACTAAGCAATTTAATTATGAAAGCCACTAGCAGCATGGCCCGGCGTTGCCCGTGCTTGATTCAAATTCGTACAACTCATACAACAATTGCTATCACTTGACTTAAAATATTTTTGCCAAGTTACTTGGTGGAAGAAATCGGCTGTGTTTATGTCGGCTCCGGTTAGCATCATAGTCAGTTGGCAATATCTTTTGGTTGATGACTAAAAATTAACTTCCACATTTTGACTGTACACATGGGTTTCATTTGGACACCATGTATATTTAAAGTAGTTTCCGGTTATTATTTTTAGTTAGGAGGACTTGTGTATGTTTGTTTCATTTGTTTTACTTTTTGTGTATCGTTCTCTGAAAAAAAACGCTGAGTCACCGGAAGTTAATGGTATTCGTTCTGTTTTCAGACGTTTGAGTAGCCGGCAGTAACTTCCGGCCAGGTGCAATACCCTTACTCGTGCTTTCAAATTGATTTCGTGCAAAAACAATTGTGTTTTTCCAATTTTTGGCACTGTCAGAACCACCGCTGGGTAATTTTACGTAGTCCTGTGGAGTTTTGTTGAAATCGGTTGAAAAATGTAGGAAATATGATCCCACATACACAATCTGCGTTTTGTAATAAGTAAGATTAACCAAACAGTCCTTTGTTTACAAAGATCACAAATTAGGAAGTTATTTTTAAAAACAGAAGATGTGAATTACCATATTTTCTGGCTTACAAGATTCACTTTTTTCCAAAAAAACAAAAAAAAACAAAAATAACCTGAAAAATAGGTGTGCATTTTCCAAGATGAATTTAAGGCAACGCCCACGCTCAAGTCAGCTTGGATGGTCACCTAATTGGCCTGACTGACAGGGACGTGAATTTGTATGTTGCGTCATTACTCTATAATGTTAACTATCTAATTCAGCCTTTTATACGATGTCACCTCATTACTTAGCTGTTACAGATATTTCCAAAACTATAAACCTTCCTGGAGCTGAGCTATAAGCTTAAACACGATGTGTTTAATAGCAATGGCAGGGGCCTTTCTTCTCTTGACTAGCATGTCATTGCCATACAAACAAAATCAGACGAGTGATTAGTGTAAACAATACACGTTGCCAGTAGGTGAGGGACACATTCACCATGTATGAGAACGACTTTTTTTTCTTAGAAATTTCTTTCCAATACTAGGGTATGTCTTCCAAGCCGCAAAATACGGTAATAATGTCGGGCCAGATATAAGTTACGTGCTGGTTGATATAAATGATGAAATAACATTTGTATGATGTTAAATATCTATTTATTATTGGCTTACGCCTACACTCTCACTCATTCTTTATTAAATCTTTTTTTAACCAATCGTTCCCAACAAGTTGTGTAATGAAGGTTGTGTTGGACAGGCATGTTTCCAGATCATTTCATACTAACACTGGGGTCCCTCAGGGCTCTATCTTTGGACCTACACTGTTTCTGATCCCTGATGTCATCAGTCCCCAACTAGGTATCCATGCAGATGACACCACCATTTACTCCTGTCTTAGTAGCAAATCTGACAGATAAGATAAACATGGCAACTACTCTTGAAAAGGACCTCCAGTCAGTGGTTAACTGGGGCAAGAAATGGCTTAGAAATTTTAATGCCTCCAAAACAAAACTGCTTTCATTTAATAACTACAGTGAGTCTTTTCTGCCTGCCATCAGCATGGCTGATGCTAAGCTCCAAGAGAGAAACACTCTATGCTTTCTTGATCTCTTGTTTTCTACTGACATGAAGTGGAGTAACTATATCGAGTCAATTGCTATGTCTGCTGTGAGGAAGATTGGTTCACTATGCTGTGACAAAAGATTTTTTTATGTCAGAATCCATTTTGCACATTTATAAATCTACCATTCAACCATGTATTGAATGCTGCTGCCATATCTGGTCTGGTGCTCCTATGCATCTCAACATTCTAGACAAAATCCAGAAAAGGGTCTGCAATATAATCGATCCTGATCAGGTATCTTGTCTCTAGTCACTTTATCACTGACTTGATGTGGATTCCCACTGTTCTACAAATATTTTCATAGCAACTGCTTGGATGAGCTTTTTTGTTGGTGCTCTGGCTACATGAATTTAAGCATGCTACTAGACTGGCTACTACTGTTGAACTAGCTGGATGCAAATGCCATTTCTACTCTGACAGTTTCTTGGTAAATTTGCAGATTACGCCCCAGAAACCAATTGTAATGAAAATTTTCATTCTGGTGTAAATTTGTATGCTTATTTTGAAAAATAGCAATAAAAGGTTGCAGAAGAAAACCGTTTAGGAGTTATTGACAATATAATTTCAGCCTCATTCGTGTCGTGGTTACAGCCTGGCCGCCATTACTGGTTTTGTTTACTTACGTTTGCCTCGAGTAGTAAATCTTTTAAGTAAGCTTCTGCACATTACTACTCGAGGCAAACGTATATAAACAATGCCAGTAATAGTAGCTGGGCTAGACGTGAATAAGGCCGAACTTATATTGTCAATAACTTCTAAATGATTTCCTTCTGCAAAACTTTTATTGTTATTTTGGAATTTATCAGGCAGTTTCATACCAGAATGGAAATTTTCATTACAATTGGTTTTCGAGGCTTAATCTGCAAATTTACCCAGTTTCTTTTCTTGCACTACTGACCTGTGGAACTTTCTTTTTGATTCCCCTGATAACTGCAATCTTCAAAAATTCAAGTGTAATGTCAATTGCCATCTTCTGTTTTCTTGAACTATGTTCATTTTTGTCCTTTCCTCAATCCTCCCCCATCCTCAGTCTGCTCATTCTCTGTAACCCGACATTCTAGTTGTCATTATCGTCTTGTTTGTGGTGAAACGATTAAAAAAAAAAAATTTTAAAATTTTATTTTTTTAATTCTTTGTAGATTCAACAATAGTTGTAAATAAACAAGCAGCTGACGTCATTTGAACCTGTCAGAATGACATCCATTATAAAATTACAAGTATTCTCTGGAGCTTATGATGAATCACCACCCTGCTACCTCCTCCAGGTGGATGAGTTTCGCTTTCTCCTCGACTGTGGCTGGAACGAGGATTTCAACATGACGTACATTCGTGAAGTGAAACGACATGCCCATCTCATTGATGCTGTTCTCCTTAGCTACCCAGACCACAATCACCTGGGTGCTTTGCCCTACATGGTTGGCAAATGTGGCCTCTCCTGTCCAGTGTTTGCCACGATCCCCGTATACAAGATGGGCCAGATGTTCATGTACGATCTCTACCAGTCAAGACATAATACAGAAGAGTTTGATATCTTTACCCTCGACGACATCGATGCAGCTTTTGACAAAATAACTCAGCTGAAATATAGCCAGACTGTCAGCCTTAAAGGTGAGCTAAGAGTTTACTTATTATTTTAATACTTTCACTGTTGCATTGTTACCTGGTTGTGCTGGTCCATTTTGGGGGGGAAAATAGGAAATTGCTGTTTACTGTTAGTAGATGACTAAAGATACAGATGGGCATTTCTTTTGGTTAATTTGCAGTATAAGCACCCCCCCCCCGTAATGAGAATGTACCATTCTGGTGTGAAATTACCTGATTATTTCAAAAATGACATTAAACCAATTCACTTGATTACTGTTTATGATTTATCGGCAATGTAAGTTTGATCTCTTTCACATTGACTGACCGCCATTACTGGCGTTGTTTACATACGTTTGCCTTGAGTAGTAGTGCGCGATGTTATTGTAAAATGCATTTTTTTATTTTAAAATGTGTTTTTTTTTTTTATGATTTTTATATGAATAGATTTTTTTTTTTATTTGTTATAGAAATAATTGAAAGCTTTTCTAAATAAATATAATATAGTTGAACCCTTTTTCCAAAAATATTCTTAAGACAGTATTGTCCTTAATAAACCTGCTTATAGCTAATGAAACAGAATCTCACTCTAAAATTAATTTATGATATATGGGAACCAGTAATAAGGAGTGCCAGAGAAAAGCAATGATAACAAAGTTGCAATATGAGCTCTGGAAAAAAACATGCAATGATAACAGCAAAATTGCAATATGAGCACTGGTAAAAATGGTTGCTGAAGACCTTAGGTTTATAATACCCAGAAATTCATACTTCAAGGATAAAGTGGATAAAGGCGTTGGTTAGATCCAGTGACAGGTCCCAAAGAGTGTGAGTTCAATACCCGGTTAAGGCAGTGGAGAACTTTCAGAGGGAAATTAACTGGAGATAACTGATAACTGACATCCATCAAACATGGCACGTGGAACTAGAACAGTCTACCCCAGTTCGGAAGTCCAACCAGTCCGGAGCATACAACGGCCGAAATGTTGTGATAAATATGGTGACAAAGATGAGGACAATAGTCCGAATAATGTAAATAATGTAATTTATGAAGCTTTAGTTTTTTTTTTTTTTTTTTTTTTTTTTTTTTTTTGATGGTATAAATTTCTTTTTCCCAATTAAAAGTATTATTTCTTTGTGAAACTGAAGCTTTATTAACTAATGAATTTTTTTTTTTATATTAAATTGGTCTAAGGTTGTTATACAAACAATTGAAAGGTTTTCTTACTTTTAAAATTTAAAAAAATCGTTGAAGAAAAAAGAAAACTTCTTTTTTTTTTTAATCCTTTCAGACACGTAATTTTGATTTTATTTTTCGTTTTTTCATTTTTACTAATATATTTGGAATTGTGACATGTTTTTCTGTTGGGTTACTTTTAAACTTCACACATTGCACAGTAATCAACACAAGTGAAGCTTCTGCACATGACTACTTGAGGCAAGCGTATGTAAACAAAGCCAGTAATGGTGGTTGTTCTAGTTAATATATTCTTAATACTTGATATAATGCAAAAATTTCACAATGATAAAATCGGCCAATAATTATTTATAACTACTTACACTGGAACTCATGCTTGCAATTACAAGTCATCCATAACAGTATTTTACATTTTGAAATCATATTTATTTTTGGCATATAAATTTTTTGAAATTGTTTCTAAATCTTTGACTGTCTTTCAATCATTCTGCCTCACCTGCTATCCTCTTCTGCTACACCTATGAGGCACACCACACTGTTTGGGAACAACTGGATCAAGGCGTCATTAATGGAGTCCAAACTCTTGATTTAATGGCTGCAGGTTCAGCCCTCATTTGTTAAACAGCCAGTAAATAGTTTAGTCTTTGATCTTCTTCTGCAGTGACTGCAATAATAATAATAATAATAATAATATTACTGTTAGGTCAGCAAGTGAAACAGCTAAATATTTCTTTTCATGTTTTTTTTCTTTTTCAGGTAAAGGCCAAGGTCTGCAAGTGACCCCTCTTTCTGCTGGCCACATGATCGGCGGGACCATCTGGAAGATCGTCAAAGATGGTGACGAGGAGGAGATTGTCTATGCTGTGGATTACAACCACAAGAAGGAACGCCATTTGAATGGTTGCGTCCTGGAGAGCATCAGTCGGCCGTCACTTCTTATTACTGATTCACTCAACTCAAATTATGTCCAGTCGCGACGACGTCTTCGAGATGAACAGCTGATGACAACCATCCTGTCGACGATGAGGAACAGTGGCAATGTACTCATTGCAGTGGATACTGCTGGCCGGGTGCTAGAGCTTGCTCAGCTTCTTGACCAAATATGGCGCAGCACTGAGTCTGGCCTGTCCACTTATTCACTCGCCCTGCTTAACAATGTAAGTTTCAATGTTGTAGAATTTGCCAAATCGCAGGTCGAGTGGATGAGTGATAAAATAATGCGAGCTTTTGAGGACCACCGTAATAATCCATTCCATTTTAAACATTTAAAACTCTGCCATAATCTTGCTGAGTTGTCCAAGGTGATGGAGCCGAAGGTGGTGTTGGCAAGTATGCCAGACCTCCAGTGTGGATTTGCCCGTGATCTTTTCATGGGCTGGTGTGGTAATGCTAAAAACAGTATCATCTTGACTTGTCGGACATCGCCGGGCACCCTTTCTCGTTGGCTGATCGACCACCCAAAAGATAAAACAGTTACCGTGGAGATGCGACGGAGAGTTAAGCTGGAAGGGAGCGAGCTGGATGATTATTTGAAGAAGAAACAGGAAAAAGAAGCAGAGGAGCGGATCAAGCAAGAGCAAGCCAAGAGAGATGCTGAAGACATGGAATCAAGTGACGATAGCGATCTGGAGATGGAAGTGGAAGGATCGAGTTGCTTGCTCAAGGCTAAGCATGATTTAATGATGAAAAGTGAACGCAATTCCCGGTCGGGTTTTTTCAAACAAGCCAAGAAATCTTACCCCATGTTTCCTTTCCATGAGGAACGGCTGAAGTGGGACGAGTTTGGGGAGATAATCCGTACAGAGGATTATACCATATTGGACCTGCCGCCTCCCGATGAGGAGACAACACAAGAAAAGTGTGTCCCGGAAGACGAAGCCATGCAGGACATGTCAGAAGTGCCTACCAAGTGTGTTTCCTCAACAATCACTCTTGAGATCCATGCTAACGTCCAGTATATAGACTTTGAGGGTCGCTCAGATGGTGAGTCAATTCGTAAAATTATTACCCAGATTAAACCTCGACAGCTGATCCTTATCCATGGAAAACCTGACCCTACAGGCAGTCTAGAGGAGTATTGTCGTAGCAGTGGTGGTCTTTGGCAGACGAGGATCTTTGCTCCCCATGTTGGTGACATAGTAGATGCAACCAGGGAGAGCCACATCTATCAAGTGAAGTTAAAGGACTATGTTGTCTCTGCATTGTCGTTTGCAAGGGCCCGTGATGCTGAGCTTGCATGGATCAAGGGGCAACTCGACATGAAGCAGGCCAAAACTGACACAAGTGCTCGATATGAGCCCGAGGAATCCGAGTTAGCGCCAGAGGATGCTGAGAAGCGGAAGCTGCTGGATTTGTTCAAAAAGGAAGACCCCAATGACCCTGATAAGGAAGAAGAAGAAGCCCACGTTCATGTGCCTACTTTGGAAGCCATCCCTAACAATAAAACTCCCGGCCATACGCCAATCTTTATCAATGAACCAAAACTCTCTGACCTGAAGATGTTTTTCTTGCAGGCTGGAATTCAGGCTGAGTTTACCGCTGGTGTGCTGATCTGTAACAACCATGTGGCTATTAAGAAGAACGAAGCAGGAAAACTACAGTTGGAGGGTGCTTTGTGTGAGGACTATTTCCGAATCAGAGATCTTGTCTATCAGCAGTATGCCATTGTATAAACCTGGGATTTTCCATATAATTATTGTCATTTCTATCATCTTCTTATTTCATTGGTCATTTTGAAACTGAAACGTAATTCTTACAATGAGATTTTCAGATAAGGCAGCTTCCTTCTTTTTTTTTCTTGCAACATTTCGGCTGATCCAATGTACGGCCTTCTTTAGGTGTATTACCCATGTGAAAAAAGACATTTTTTTTTTCTTTTCTGATAATGCAAAGCAAAATACAGTAGCAAACAGAAAAGTGAAATGTTGAGATCAATGCTTGTAAAATTGGTTCTAGTTTCAGCAATGGCTACAGTCCAGCTCGTTTTATAATTGAAAACCAACAACTTTCTCTCTTTTCTTTGTCCCTTTCTCTCTTTTCTTTGTCCCTTTCTCTCTTTGTCCTTTCTCTCTTTTCTTTGTCCCTTTCTCCCTAAATCATTCTATGTTTCTATTGAGCAATGAAAGCCATACCATGTTAACATCCATACCTGTTTAACTTATGCAGCTAAACAACATACATGTGGGTCATACACCTGAAGAATGCCATAGAATGGATTGGTCAAAATGTTTGGGGAGGGGATTGAATAAAGTTCATTTGTCTGAAAATCTCTTTGAATGATCTTGACTCTCCTGAAGATTTATAGATAAAGACTTTCTCACCATTGAAAAATTAAAAAAAAAATTAGATTTCTCAAATCAAAATAAAGTTTGAATCTTGTTATTTAGTAAAGGGAGCGAGGACTTTTTATGAAATAATTTCGAGATGAAGAATTATCATCATCATCATTATTATTATTATTATTATTATTATTATTATTATTATTATTATGATGATTTGCTATTCAGACCAACCAGCATTCTCCTCTTGGTTGTTATATTCATAACGTTTCAGCTGTTATACCCGCCTGCCTTCTTCAGGTATTTGTTGTACAAGTGGATAAAAGTATTGTTTAAAATAGATCTGGTTCCCTGGCAGACAGGATTTCAATCCTTGGGTCTGGTATTGCTGAAATATCACATATGACTGGTTCAGGAGAAGAAATAGATAAGCGACATAAAGTGGGGGGGGAGTATTAACTGCTGTGAAACATCCCCCCCCCCCCAAAGCACAGAAAGTGAAATGAGAATTGAATAAAGTTTTCAGTTTGAAATTCTGATAAGGTTACTGAATGCAACAACAGATGCCTGAAGAAGGTAGGAGAGTAGATGGTCGAAATGTGTATAATAGCCATGCACCAAAAAGTAGTACGAAATTTATGGTAACAATTTAGAATTTAATTAATAGAAGAAAAGTTAACTCCTGTCACCGAACTTTGATTTATAGGATGCAGGGCTGTGTGTGTGTGTGTGTGTGTGTGTGTGTGTGTGTGTGTGTGTGTTTTTTTATTTTTTTGAGTTATCTTGTAGGGAAAATATGATTCTTATAAGCAAGAAAATACGGTTAACTTCTATCTAGCTCTTTATATATATATATATATATATATATATATATATATATATGTGTGTGTGTCAATGTTATGCTGTTGAGATGGTCAGAGAGTTGGTAGGAAGAAGTGTTGAAGGGCTAAGTTGTTAATTTGACAGAACAACTACATATCCAATCCTGATTAGGTAAATGGAGTCCTGAATAAAATAACTTAATATATTTGAAACCAGGTTCAGGTGCTCAAATCTAATGTCATTTGTTTTCATCTTTCATTTCCTTGTGAGCCAGCAATGGATCTCTTCCACTTTTATTGCACACTGAGACAAATGAGTTGATGCAAACTGACCCATTAGTAGAAAGTTGGGTCTGAACCTTTTGGAATGTTTGCAAAAATATTTAGGGTCCACTGGAATGATTACTTATATGAAGTGGGTGCTGCAAAGTTTTTGGCCTCAACCCACTTTCCAAGATTTTCTTTTTTTTTTCTTTATTATAATTCTTGGTTGGGTTGAGAACTTATCAGCATAATTCTCTCTGTTTTTCTGTTTTTCTCTCTTTCTTTCTCTCTCTTTCATTTTCTCTCTGTTTTTCTCTCTATACAACAATTAAGTTTGGTATTACTGGACAGCTTATTTTATATAGTTTAACATACCAAACTCCGACCTTTTGTGGCTTTGGGTAAAAAATATTTAAATTAATATTCTCTTGAATTTATATTATTTTTTTTTTTTTTTAAATTTTAATTTTTGATTGAATCATGTCACCCCAAAGAAGGCAATAAAGCTACTAAGATACAAGTAGTTTCTGAGATTGAAAGAATCTGAAAAAAAAAAAAACAATATTAAGGAGAGAGAATAATGAAAGATGAGCAATTAAGAAGCCAGAAGATAACGGTTGACATTGCATTTCAATTTTTGAAGTTCAAAGTGAACAGGAAAGCAAGGAGCCTAAAGAGTTCCACAAGCAAGAAGTGTGAGAGAGGAAACTGTTAGCATAGAACTTACAGTTACATCTAACAATTTCAGTTGTAAAATGATGAGACCTAGCTGCCAATCAAGTACTGCGCTTAAATTTGTTAAGTCAAGATAGGAGAGAGGAAAGCTCAGAACAATTAACATGAAAGTATTTATAGAAAATTTTACTGTCAATTTGCCAAAGATCATGGTGAGATCATCATTTCTTAGTGTTGCTGCATGTCTGCAAATTGTCTTGCATCATAGAAACCTTTCTATTTGATTTAGACCAGTGGTTCTCAAAGACGGTCGATGGATGGGTCTTAGACCAGCGATTGCTCCTAGGTGCCGTGAGGAGGGTGAGCGGGCAACCAGAGGGTGGCAGAGGCACATCTGAACCATAACATACACAGCACACACCTAAAATGCACCCAAAGTGTGTCTTGCCATCACTTCAGTGTCTCCCATTTATATAACAATGATTTAGGGCAAATACTAAGATATTCATTTGACATGCTATACGAGCACCAAGTAAAACCAGTGAAAGCTTGTCTATATATTTAGTGGGGAGGCGTGAGGGTTGTGCTTTGGAACGCAAGGGAGTGGCATACTAAAATAGTTTGCAAATGAATGTACTAGACAATTACTATTGAATAGTGAGTTTATGGAGTTTCCATGAGTTTGCACGTTTATGTATATTGTTGGTGGGTGCGTATTCACATCTGACAAACAAAGAAGCAGTATACAAAAACTTGGGTTTCTACCACAGACTGTTTATCCTCTTTTTATATAAACTGTAGCGAAACAAGTTTCTGACTCTTGAGTATGTCTTCTTTTTGGTCCAGAATTTAGAGTAAGCAAGGATAAGCATCATTTTAATGGTCGAGATCAAGTCAGCCTTGTGCAGAGTTGTAACAACCAAAGAAAAGTTTGAGAATCACTGATTTAAATGAAAAACATTGATTTTATTCCATCTGAATCATAACATACATGACACACACCTAAAATGCACCCAAAGTGTATCTTGCCTTCACTCCAGTGTCTCCCATTTATATAACAATGATTAAGAGGAAATACTAAGATATTCATTTGACATACTATACGAGCACCAAGAAAATCCAATCAAAGTTTTTCTATACATTTAAGGGTTGTGTTTTGTTACGCAAGGGGATGGCAACCCCAAAATTTTAACAATCACTGATTTAAATGATAAATATGATTTTATTCCATTTGGATTCAAAATTCGTACATTTCAGCTGGATTGATTTGAATCTTTTGTGTTCATATTTGCTATTAAGTGATAAGTAAAGAAATGTTAAAATATACAGAAAATGGTTTTGTTTTACAGCTTATCAACTCCTCATGGGTCATTTAAAGCTGAAACAGTCTTATATTTTATAAAGTTTAAATTGTTACCCCCATCTCACCTCAATCATCAGGTATCAGTTATTTATTTTTTTTGTGCAATCTTATGATTTCAGTAGACAAGTATGACTATACCAGAATTGCTAAAAAGTTTTATGATAATTCTTCTGCCGCCACTCACTTTAAAGACAATTTGATGCTCGTAGGTCCTTACTTTCTGTACAAACAATTATATATGGGTGAATTTTGCTGGATTTCGCAATTAATTTTGATTAAAAATTGTTGTACAAAAACATTTGTTGAAAAAAATCACATAAAAACGTAGAAACAGTCACAGAAAGGAAACTTGTGAATCCAAAAATTCTATAACATGAGCGATTGAAAGTTAGAGAGCTGTGTCCCTTTAATTGAAAAAGTGTGACACACTGACATTTATTATATAGGAGTATGACACATTTATTATATAGAAGTTTTTCAAGAGTTGTGACGTGCAGAGGTATGGTGATTCCTGGGGCGAACTCCTTGATGGTGTACTCATAAGTATACTTATAAGTGGGTTCATTATGTAAAAGCAGATGAAACATTAAATAAACACTTTATCCAAATTAAATATAAACTAAATTTTTATTTTTACTCTTTGGTTTGTCTCCCAATATAGATACTTGGGGTTGTTATACCCTCTTCCCCTACTTCTGCTCAAGCGATATCGCAAGAAGCCCCTTTTAAGAAGGTAAGGATTATACTCTCTGAAAAATAGGGTTGCAAAGTGAATGAAAGTTTCAAGAGAATAACATTTTTTTTCCCTTCAAAAGCTACAGATGTCATCCTGGGTAAGATGATAAACTACGTCCGACAGCAAGGCCTCTGATCAGAAGGTTTTGAGGAGCGTTGAACCACCTCTTATTTGCTGATGTTCCCAGGTCCACCCTGACCTGGGGTGGTAGTACCTGTTAGGCTTCCAGCTATGGGCAAATAGTTAACCTCCAAACTGGGTTCAAAATACTATGAAAGTGTGAAAATAGGTTTTAACACCAGAAATAGGTTTTAACAAAATTATTACCAGCAATACTTTTGAAAAATGAAAATAATAAATTTTGAAAATATTACCAGAAAAAAATTAAATAACCAGGTTGATATATTTTTTAAAGGAAAATAGGTTTTATTACCAGCTAAATTTTTGAAGGAAAAATTACATTGGAAAAAAAAGCTATACATTGAAAAAAAAAAAAAAAAATATTACCAGCAATAAAAATCTTGTTGGCATCAAATAACCTATAATAACTGAGGTTGATATGCTGTAAAACAAAACAAACCAAACCAAGCTACAGATGTTAGATTTTGGTTTGTAAATAAAGTTTTCAGGAATACCAAGTATGATAATAGAATTCATTCCTAGTTCACCTATTATATGGGATTTTTACGCTCAGACTAAAATCATATAGAATGTAAATAAATGTCTAAATTTCCATACTTGATGATTTAATATTTATTTGTAGAGAATGAAGTTTATTATTTAATCCAGTATAAAAATCCATTAATTCTAAAGAAATTGTTTTGTTAACGTTTAACACACACTCATTCAGATTTTTCTCAAAGCATGAATGCGCTTTAAAGACAAAATAAAACCAAAGCTCGTTAGATCAGATGATGGTTCCTTCTGCAAGGGGGGGATCCAGGTTCGAAACCTGTC